AGCCGCTGCGTCCATACTGTTTTTTTTGAAGGTGTTTTGATAGCATACTTCCAGACGATGTTGGTTTGGGGGATCGATGGAGCGATTGATGAAATTAGTCTGGCGAAGGGACCAACCACATGCAGTTGTGAGTACCGCCGTTGTGAGTATCGTCTTCGGTGGATCTCTTTATGCGGCCACGAAGCGCGTAAACGGCGTGCCGGATCTGGCGTGGACACCATGCGGGCGCTGCGACTGGAGCTCCCTATGGCACAGCCCTATCGGGCCATGGGACGTGTGATCGGGTCGTCGAAATGGAGCCGGAACTGCATGCGGCCGTTGCCACTGGCGTATTCGGTGGGGCTCCCAATAGGGGCCACGAAACGTGTGAGGGATGCACCGAAGTGGGGGGTGGAACTTTTTTGCGGGCGCTGCCCCTGGAGCTTTCGGTGGAGCTCCCGACGGGGCCACGAGGGTGGAGCTGCATGCGGCCGCTCCTACTGGGGCCTTCGGTGGGGCCAACGAAACGTGTGAGGGGTGCACCGAAATGACTGTGGAACTGCATGCAGGCGCTGCCATTGGGGCCTTTGGTGGAGCTCCCTCTGAGGCCACGAGACGCGTGAAGGGCGTGCCGAAACAGGGGATGGGACTGCATTCAGGCGCTGCCTCTGGGGCCTTCGGTGGGGCAACGTGTGAGGGGTGCGCCTAAACGGAGGGCGGAACTGCATGCGGGCGCCACCAGTGGGGCCCTCTGTGAAGCCCCCCTATGGCACTATTGGGTCACGAGACTCGTGATGGGGCACGAGACTTGTGCTGGGGTGTGCCGAAGGGACCCGAGTGACCATGCCGACGCGGCCGCTCGGGCCTCCCGTGGAGCCTCCTTGTGGGGCCACGCCGCGTGCGAGGGATGTGCCGAAAGTGTGGGCGGAACCGCAGGCGGGCTCTGCCAGTGGGGCCTTCGGTGGAGCTCCCCATCGGGCCACGAAACGTGTGAGGCGTGCACCGAAATCGAAGGTGGAACCGCATGCGGGCTCTGCCACTGGGGCCTTCGATGGAGCGCCCCGTGAGGCCACGAAACGTGTGAGGCGTGCACCGGAATTGAAGGTGGAACCGCATGCGGGCTCTGCCACTGGGGCCTTCGATGGAGCGCCCCACGAGGCCACGAAACGGGTGAGGGTTGCACCGACCTGAGGGTGGAACTGCATGCGGGCTCTGTCAGTGGGGCCCTCGGTGGAGCTCCCTATCGGGCCACGAAGCGTGTGAGGCGTGCACCGGAATTGAAGGTGGAACCGCATGCGGGCTCTGCCACCGGGGCCTTCGATGGAGCGCCCCAGGAGGCCACGAAGCGTGTGAGGCGTGCACCGACATGAGGGTGGAACTGCATGCGGGCTCTGTCAGTGGGGCCCTCGGTGGAGCTCCCTATTGGGCCACCGGACGTATGAGGGGTGCACCGAAATGGAGGTGGAACTGCATGCGGGTGCTGCCACTGGGGCCTCCGGAGGAGCTCCCTATGGAGCCACGAAGCGTGTGAGGGGTGTGCCGAAATTGACATGGGAGGGCTGAGGCAGGAACGGGGTGCCGATGGTGATGGTGATGGTGATGGTGGTGGTGATGATGATGCTGATGAGGATGATGATGATTACGATACTGACGATGATGATGATGATGATGATGATGATGATGATGATGGTGATGATGATGGTGATGGTGATGGTGATGGTGATGGTGATGGTGACGATGATGATGACGCTGATGATGATGCTGATGATGACGATGATAATGATGGTGGTGATGCTGATGATGATGATGATGGTGGAGATGATGATGATGATGATGATGATGATGATGATGATGATGATGATGATGATGATGATGGTGCTGATGATGATGATGATGATGATGATGATGATGATGATGATGATGGTGATGGTGATGATGATGATGATGATGATGATGATGATGACGATGACGATGACGATGATGATGGTTGTGGTGGTGATAATGATGGTGGTGGTGGTGATGATGCTGATAATAATGTTTATAAGTTTGACGACGACGATACTGACTATGATGACGATGCGGACGTGCGGAGAGCAGAGGCAGGGATGGGATGAGGGAGGAGGCGGGAGGAAGGAAGCGGGAGGGTAACTCGGGGCGCTTTCTCTTCAAAACGAGGACCCAACACCATAGGATGGTTGAGAACAAAAACCAGCGTCCAGCCTCTGCGACGAGAGCCTCCAAAAAAGTCCCCCAAACCTCCCGCAACGGCGACGACGACGCCGTTGAGATCACGACGACGTCGTTGCCTGGCAGCTCTGTTATGTCTGTGTTGCGAGATCAGGCCGCCTTTCTGCGGCTGTTATTTCCTGCCGTGTGTGCACAGCATCTCGCGGGATCGATGTGCGCGCTTGCCTTAGCCTTTGTCGCATCGCGCTGAATGCGACGAGGGTGAGTCTTGTGCCGACTTATAGGCTAACTGCAAGCTGCTCTGGGCAATGGTGCCCAGCCGCACTTGTAAAGCGTTTGACGGCCAAGTCGGGCACGGCGGGTACGCAAGGTGGACTGGATGAGTGCGGTCGCGTGCAGATACCAATGATGCCGAGTACCAGGGAGGGGTGTGAAGAGTCGAGGAGAAAGATAACGTTGATCATGATGAGGCGAGGATGATCAAGAACATGGTGATTGGGAGGAGGACGGGGAGCAGAACAGCGTCAGATAGCGGGTGGGAGTGTCGGCGGGCGGACGGGCGGCGGCAGGTGCCTTCAGCGAGGTAGTGACCGCAGGTGCAAGGGACGTGGGGTCCCTGCGCAGGATAGAGGTTCTCAGCTTAGCGTCTTCCGACCAAGTAATCACAATGACCAGGTACATCGACACGTGATCGCTAACGCAGTGATGTATATTTGTTCCTTGTGATGGGCGTTGCGATGGGCAGCTTGATCAGTGTTGCGATCCGATCGTCTGGTCGGGTGGCTGCGATTGAGGTCCTCAGCGAGAAGATCCTGACCCGGCTAAAGAAGGAGGCGTGTCTTACCCGCTGTCGCCGGTCTTTCTCTTGTCGCAAGCTCTTGAGCTTGCGCTTCACCTCTGGGGAAGCTTCGGGGTTGCGCTCAGACAGGCCTCAACAGGCCTTTGGGTGCGCGGTGCTGGCTGGCCTCAACACGGTCCCGGAGGTAGTCCTGGCTACAGTCGGCCCGGATTAGGAGGTCGACACTGCCAAATCAAGGGTACCCTCGTGTCCTGTGTCTCGCGACCCATTTCTCTTACATTCCGGTGGCAATGTGGCCCTCGGAAGGGTCTTGTGTCCTCTCGCGTGTCCTGCCCAATCAAGTCCGACTGGAGCACCCAGGGCAGTCCGGGGCAATCCCAGCACCACCGCCCCAGGCGCGGAGTGCCCCCGGGACGCCGCGGGAGGCGGGGTGCGTGGGTTTCCAGCCTGCCCCAGACTAGCCCGGGGGCGTGCGGAGCCCAGCCAGGACAGCAAGACCTGTCTGCAGCGGCTGGCTGTGCGCAGCCCCAGGCCGTCCTTCCCCCCCCCTCCTCGTGCCAGAGCAGCTGTCCGGTACGGTAGACGGGGGTCAGAGGCTGGGACCTCGACGTCGCCAACGATGATGGCCCGGCTGCCTTCTAGAACAATACAGTCGAACTACATCATAAGGATGGGTGACCTTTCCAAGGGTGCCCTTGCATCCTTGCCTCTCGGCCCATCCTAGCCCTTCGCCCATGATCACGGGACATGAGTTTCCCTCTGCGGCTCCGATTTGGGCGTCCAAGTGCCTTTCATCCTCAATATGTAGGTGCGGCGGCAGCATCAGGTATTCGAAGGCGCGTAGGAAGGCTTGCGAAGCGGCTGAAAATCACGGTACAATTGGTTGGAGTCGTGCGTGGGGAGGTGCTGCGAAGAGGGGATGGGTCGGAAATATTGCCACTGAAGTGGGAGCGGGTATGGCCTGTGGGCGTGCTTCAGTTCTCCGCAGCATGATGCATCTGTGCATCTGCCTAATGGGGATGACAAAGGAAAAGGTGGGTGTGTGGGGGGGTGACAGTGGGAAGTAGGATGAGGCATGAGGGTCAGGAGGAAGGAGGAGGATGAGCAGAAGGAGGGAGCAGAAGGTACAGTGTGAAGTAGGCTGAGGTATGAGGTGGGGGAGGAGGAAGAGGAGGATGATGATGAGGAGGAGGAGGAGGAAAAGGCGGGACGATGGTAAGGGACGATGATGATGCTGCTGATGATGATGATGCTGATGGTCGTGATGATGCTGATGAGGATGATGCTGGTGATGACGCTAATGATGATGACGCTGATGCTGCTGCTGCTGCTGCTGCTGCTGATGATGATGATGATGGTGATGATGATGATGATGATGATGATGATGATGATGATGATGATGATGATGATGATGATGATGATGCGAATGGTTATGATGATGCTGCTGCTGATGATGAGGCTGATTAGGATCGTGCTTGTGTCGATGATGGTGGTGGTTACGACGACTACGATGATGGAGGTAATGGTAATGATGCTGCCGATGAGGATGGTGCTGACGATGCTGATGGTGGTGATGATGATGATGATTCCGACGACGATGATGCTGCTGATGATGATGACGATGACGGTTGTGGTGGTGGCGATGATGAGTCGATTGATGGTGCCGATGATGCGACAAATCGTAGTGATGGCGGTGCAGACTTTTAGGAGCATGATCATGCAGGTGATTATGATGGCAACGATGATTGTCGTGGCCATGACCATGATGATGCTCACGCTGCTGATGCTGATAGTGATGACGATGCCGATGACGATGCTGATGGCGATGGCGATTCTGAAACTGATGATGATGATGATGATGAGGATGCTGATGAGGACGATGCATATGGATGCTAAGCTAACTCAAATGATGAGGACGACCATGCATATATTAATGCTGAGGCTGTTGTTGATGATGCTGACGATGGTGATGATGACGATGTTGTCGAATCCATGATGGTGACGACGGGTATGATTGACACGATGCTGCTGATGA